CAGAGCGAAATGAGGCTGAGGACTGAATCCAAACAAGGCTTAAGCTGAGCCCTACAAGCCCAGCTGTATTTTCACCTTGACAGTTGGATGCTGGGGGCAGAACCCCAGCAGAACTGGGTGTTGGCTCCTGCTGTAGCCACAGACAGAACATCCCTCACCTGGGTCAGTGAGCTTCAACTACAGCAAAATGAAGCACTTGAAGCACTCCAAGATTATCCCAGAAGATGGGAATGTGTGTTGTAAAGCTCTGCCATGCATGCAGAGAGGAGCCTTGCCCAGGCTGTTTGCTGAGTCGAAGCAGAACTGATGGGTTTATGGTTGTGGTAGGAGGCTGAGCACAAACTCGGGCAGGAAGACAGCGGAAAAGTTGAGAACATTTGTGGAGTTCCATTTGAAGCATATCAAATATGCATAATCTCATTAAAAGAGCTCTGGCTTACTATAACTCAAGCAGCTGCTTAGGTTGTGCTGTGCCCAGAATAATTGGAGGGTTGTACAAGAAGATTTGGGAAGATTGTGGAATCTGTTTAAAGCAATTACAACCTCTACAAACCGAGGGAGTTTGTATTTAGGGATGGGGGGATGAGAAGGGAATGTGTTTTCCATGAAATACCTTTGGCAGTGAAAAATTTGCAAGGAATTTCAATTAAGGACTCCCCTTTTAATAATACAAAACCCCAAAACAACCATATATTGGGCTGAAGCTTCAGCTGCTGTAAGCTAGCACAGTCTCATAGTAAAGGTGGTTCCTTCACTTAAGAATTCCAACCTAGCACTGAGTCAAACTTCTTCAGCATGTTCTCCATCCTCTCCTGTGTTCCTTCTAGTCAAAGGCTGCTTTGGAATTGGCCCTTTTCCTTCTTGCATGGACCTTTGCAGGTCCCACTGTGGGTTCTGTGCATGTTGCATTGAAGCTTGAAGGATTTTTTTTGGGCTTGGACTAGCCGAGAGATCTTTTAGTCTAAATTTATTCATAGTTTGAACTGCCCTTCAGAATGTGTGAATAGCTTGAATTCACTGACAATACAAATAGAACCAGCAAACAGAACCATGGAACGGTTGGCTTGGAAGAGACCTTAAAACTCATCCAGTTCCTCTCTCTGCCACAGGCAGAGGGACCAGGTTTCTCCAAGCCCCATCCAACCTGGCCCTGGATGCTCCCAGGGCTTGGGGGAAGCATTGGCAAGAGGCCTGGGCTGCACAGCCTGTGTGGGGTGGTAACACACTCCATCAGTGCATCCTGGCCTGGGGTTGTCCCTCCCTGTCCCTTGCCATCCATCCCTGGGCAGCAAGTGCCTTCCTGAGCCTTCTGCTCACTCGGGTGCTGCTGCAGCAGATGGCCACGAGCAGGAAAAGCTGCTGCCATGTGTGTGTTGGGCTTTGGCTTTCCACTTGCATGAGTGGGGGGCTGAAAGCTTCAGCTCTGCTGGCAAAACCTTCCTGATGGCACAAGGCACTGATTCCTGTGAAGGTCTGGAAGCTCAGGCTCTTCCTGGAGGAATGGTCCTGCCCTTTCTCTTGGTGACCCACTGTGCCTAACACATGTTCTCAGCTGTGTCAAATTCCACTTGGGAAGGGTTTTGTGAGGAATAGTTTGTCATGGAAATGAGTGTTTGTGATGTAGAGCCTCAAGCTCCTTGACTAAAGCATCTGAAATGCTGCTCTACTACACGTTGTAAAGTTAACAGGCTTTGCTCAGTGCTGCTCCAAAAAAACTGTCGAGCTGCTGCACTGAGCTAGGCCAATTAACTCCTGCTTCCTTCAGCCTCCTGCCCCTGTTTTCCTTAGATCCTCCTCTTTTAATTGCTCTGATAGCTCCTGCTCATAACATGCAGGTTGTAAAAATGAACCTGTAGCAAGCAGCAGATCCACAGACCAGGAATTGTCAGTGCTGCATTTCTACACGAGGGGTTAAGTTCTTACTACTGATTTTGGTAGCAACATACATTCCCTTAAGAAATCAGAGCAAGCCAAGATATGTGAGGTGGCTGTGTGGGATGCTCCACTCCTTTTCCATTACATTGCTATTCAATGCAGTGTCTGTGCTCCACGCTGTGTTGTCCCAGCCCTTGGGGGTGGTTCTGTTGCTCATGAAGGTGCTGAGATGTGTGTGAGCTGGAAAATGAGCACTGTGATGGGAGAGTTTTCACATGCCTGAAACCCTTCTCAGCCACTGAATTCCTGGGGCTGTTCCTCCTCCTTGGCTGTATAAATTGGAGGAAAGTTGCAGGAAAAACCTCAGAAGATCCTGATCAGGAATAAGGGCTGGTTGGACATCAGGAAGGGTTTCTTCATGGAAAGAAGAAACTTCTCTCAAGCATTGGAACTGTCCAGGGAGGTGGTGGAGTCACCATCCCTGGAGGTGTTCAAGAAACACCTAGACATGGCACTCAGTGCTCTGCTATAGGTGAGAAGGTGATGATGGGTCAGAGATTACACTCGATGATCTTGAAGGTCTTTTCCAACCTAAATGATCCTGTGCTGGAGCAGAAAATTCAGACAAGAACAAGTGAGGGAGGAGTATCCTGACAGAGACTTGTGTTGTGCTGCAAACAGGATCCCTAGGAGAGGTGGAACAGCTCTGTCACTTGAGATGTTTAAACCCAGAGCAAACAAAGTGTGTGGTGGAGAATGAGTTGACACTTATCAGGAGACCTTGACTGACCCAGGAGGATTTTTCCCCCCTTAATGCCATGTAGTAACCCCCCATGGCCAAACCCAACGGGGCCTTTAGAGCTTTGCTTTGCATTTATTGTTGTTCTGTGCTGCTTGTGCCTTTCCACGTGTGACACTGCTGTTGTGTTGCAGCTGATGATGCCTGTGGAGGGACTCTGCGGGGCCAGAGTGGGATTATCTCAAGCCCTCACTTCCCTTTGGAGTATGGCAACAATGCAGACTGCACCTGGACTATCCTCGCGGAGCCTGGAGACACTATTGCTCTGGTTTTCATGGATTTTCAGCTGGAAGATGGATATGATGTGCTGGAAGTGGCTGGAACAGAGGGATCTTCGCTCTGGTAGGTCACTCCTGGCCATGCTTTGTTGTAGTACATTTCCTGCTGTGCCCACTGAGGTTTTGTGTGCACTTTATTGGATCAGAGTGAACAGAGTTTGTGTTGAAGGAGGGTAATTCCCAGTTATTCCCAGTTGCTGATTTCTAAGGAGACTCCCTAGGAGGCTTTTGGTTTGCTTGGTAAACTTTGCAGTGACTCTTGGCTAGTTTCAATCCTTTCTCTGCCATAAGATTTCATGGTGTGGAAGGAAGGAAGGATTAAACCCTCAAACAAACCCCTCAACCCTTGGAAACTCCCTCAAACTTTGTGATGTTCAAGCTTTGGCTCTGCTGAATCGTTTCCTGCTGGTTTCTAAATCCAAGTTGGCTTTGCAGGCAAATATCAGTGTGTCCTTGGGGCAGGAGGCTGTGGAGAGAATTCCAACCCCCCCTCATCCCAGGGGTTGCTTGAGCAGTGCTCTCAGGAACACTGTTTGCATTTAGAATGAAGCCCATGGAGATATTTGCCAATATCTCCAAAGATCTGGGCCATGAATTGGGAAGGGACAAGGAATTGCAGGAGGAATTCGATGTGTTCCTCGTGTTGCTTTTCTAGCAAAGGACAACTCTGCCTCTTGTTGCTCCAGACATGATGAGAACTGCACTGAAAGAGTTAAAAAGTCCTGACTAGCAGCAAGTGGAAGATGTTGGATATTGGTCTTAAACCCAACAGTTCCCTCTGGAAGGGAAGAATGAAGCGTTTGAAATAATTAGGTGTTGCCTGGGATCATCAGGAGGAGGTTAAACGATGATTATTTATGAGGATTCTGTCACACAAAAACCATTCATTGCCATGATTTATACTTCCTGCCATTCTGGGGGAATAGGAACTGAATGGTTAGGATGTATTGATGGGAGAGAAGTTGCCATTTACCATGTCCCCATTGTTTACTGTTCCCAGGACCCTTTGGAAAATTAGATGTTGCTGTTTCATGAAAACAAACCCTGGTTTTTATTAGCATGCATGAATATTTCAGGGCCCTCTGAGTTCTTAGCCATCCTGAGCTGCAGAGAGGCTCAGTCATCTGTGCTGTGTGTGGAGATGGATGGAGCTAGTTAAGAAACATTATTCAGCCTGGAGGTGTTGCCAGTGCAGCTCTGTGTCTTGTCATATCAAAAAGAAAACAAAGCCTGGCAGGGTGAACCTGCTGAAAAAAAAAAAAAAAAGCAAAGAAAAAGGAGTTAATAAACTACCCAGAAACACAGCAGGAAGAACTTTAAAGGTGGTAAATGTGGCTTAGCAAGGGAAACCCTCTGAGTCTGAGCAGAACATGTGTGTTCCACGCTCTGTCACAAGGGAGGCTTAGGCAAGAGGTTGGCAAGGTGGTGTGTTCTACACACAGCACTATCAGAGAATCATAGAATCAGCCTGGTTGGAAGAGACCTCAAAGATCACCAAGGCCAACCCTACTGTGGTTACCAGACCATGGCACTAAGTGCCACATCCAGTCTCAGCCTAAAAACCTCCAGGGATGGTGAATCCACTACCTCCCTGGGCAGCACATTCCAATGCCTGATCACTCTCTCTGGAAAAAATCTCTTCCTAATATCCAACCTAACCCTCCCCTGGCAGAGCTGAGTCTGTGCCCTCTTGTCCTGGGAGAAGAGACCAACCCCCACCTGACTCCAACGTCCTGGCAGGGAGTTGCAGAGGGTGAGAAGGTCTCCCCTGAGCCTCCTCTTCTCCAGGCTGA